CATTTTTTTGTATCTGTCTCTTGTGAGTCTGCCAACTTTATGGATGCGTAATATTAAATAATTTGAGTGGCTCTTTCACTTCATGTCTCCTAATCCCTCCAAGGAGAACCATCCGTAATAATCACCATTTTTTAGTGACACTACTCCTTAAACGGCCCCTTATTCCAAAAACACCACCATTGCTTTCTGCTCTGTTATGGGAGTCACAGAATCAAGTAGAAGTAATCTAGATTATGTCATACCTTGTTAATGTCAACCTAGCCATAACAAACTGTCCAGGCTTTTGTTTCACAGGCTGGAGATGAGGTGTTAAAAATGCATCAGAGTAAAAAAGCACACTCAGTGTTAAATGCATCAATCAATGTCAACGTGAAAAGAGCCAGCTGGCAAAGCGGCACTTTAAGTACATTAACAAAGATTTTTTTAAATAAACCATTCAGCCATAAGATGATGACGTGAGTTTATTGAATGTATAACATGTGTTTTATCCTGCACGTGGTGTCAGTTGATGCACGAACCAGTACAGTCAGTTTGTCAAACACAATTCCCCTGTTTGAATTTAAATGGATGCTGTGCTTTACGTTCGTTTATGTTCTCATATTGGGCCCAAAGGATTTTTCTTTTTATTATTATTATCTCAAGGAGACGTTGTAATCTCCTGTTCAAATTAAAAACCTGTTTAAAACCTTTAAAACACCATTAAATGCCAGCGATCGTTGGCACCTGAACGGCGATGGTGCCGTTGGCGTTAAGATACACAATCACTCCTTGGAAACAGCAGTAATTAATAAATGAGCGTTGGTACGGTCCATGAGGCAGGCACGCAGGCAGGGGAAGACGCTGATGAAATGAAGAACCCCGCTCTGCTTTTTGCCTCCGTTGAAATCAGACGGCTGAGTGAAAGAAGAGGATATTAAAAAGCACTGCCTAATGTATTCATAAGGTATTCAAATGCATGGCACGGAGGCTCCTGGATCACTTCGCTTTACAGGGGAAGCTGCTGGAGGTCACTAACACATTTTATAATATTGCAAAATGAATGCACAAATGCCCTCCCAAACAGTCTTTAAGACAAACTATTTTCCGCCGCGCTAAGCCCCCCAGGTATATTAAAGGTCTGAGAGTGGCTCACTGCTTCTGTTCTCCTTGATATCAAGTCAGTCATTAATGGCTGTCACGCAGCCCCCCCTGAGTGATCCCCAGGGGGGACGGAGAATCCACGGGAGCAGGTTTCTTTTTCAGAATTAATGCTCAAATCTGGTTTTTATTCATAGCCCTGAGAAATTGAGAATGCATTCTGAAATCACCTTCCTGGAATGATCACCTTTTAGCTTGTGGAACACCAGGTCTGTTAATGCTGGCTGATCTCATGATCTCTGTGGACACACCCATCTGTCACCTGTGGGGGGGTAAGGGAGTGAAGGGGCGGGGCGGAGCTGAGTCATTGCTACTACATCCGCGGGCCGAGGGGGGGGAAATGTGGCAGATGTGCTGCTGGGACACAGGAGGAGAGGCTGTGGGAAATGAGCTCTGAGAATATACCTGCTGCAGCTTGAACACCATGGATCTCTGACAATTATCTTTCTTTAAAGATTTACTCCATCTGTCAGCAAGAGACATTTTATTAGAACAAAGTTAAAACGTTTAAGGACATGCATGACATTTCTAACTTTATTTGAAGAAGTTAAATGCCAAAGTTGAAGGCAGAAAATATCAGAACTAACTACAACATGGCAACAGGAACATGTCTTCATTTGTTTTCTTACTTTTGGAGAGTGTGGAGTTACTGTGTGTGTGTGTGTGTGTGTGTGTGTGTGTGTGTGTGTGTGTGTGTGTGTGTGTGTGTGCGTGTGTGTGTGTGTGTGTGTGTGTGTGTGTGTGTGTGTGTGTGTGTGTGTGTCTCAGGTAAAGCAGCATGGGGAGTGTGGGATGCTGCCTTTTTTTGAGCATTGAGCCAAGAAACAGAGTCAAAATAATCTCAGATACCAAAGATATTTGAAAGCCACATCTCACCCCGGGGTATGTAGTTAGAGACGCCTTGTTCCCCTGTTCTAGACACTACTGAGTTGCATCAGGGGAATTGCAGAATCCAGTGTCTGAGAAGTTTGCCTCACATTACAGGACTTATCTGCCTCCGCCTGCATCAATTGGGATGCAAAAAAGTTGCTTTCAAATAATCTTTCAATGAATTTAGTCACAAAGTAGGAATTTTAAAAGATAAAAATGTTCAGTCAGTGTTCAGGTCCAAGAGCTCCTTCAGTACGCGTGCTGTGTGCACAAGCAGGGTAGAAAATATATCTGCAGGGATGAAAGAAAATGTCAGATTAAAGCGGTAAACACACACAAGGAGCATCATTTGTAGACCATAAAACATAACCAGATTTAGGACCAGGAGCTGAATTGTCCATATTTAAAGGACGCCGTCTGGATGGGCAGAGAGGGACAAATTGGATGAGGTTGAGCTGCACTAACTGCTTGTTTTGACTCGGGAGAGAAAACTCTATCGTCCCTTTGACCGGCCAACTGCACTGAGAAAGGAAACATTGTTCCTGTGTTTTGGCTGGATAATGAGGGGACATGTCACAACAGAAGGTTTCTGACAAGGTCTAGGGTGTCTGCTGTTGTGCACATTACTGTCAGGAATGCCAATGAGGCCTAATGAGGCTTTAATCCAGCCGGAGTCATTAGTGGCAGGTCATTTTAAAACAGGGGTGGGGAACCTCCGGCCTCCGGGCCGCATACGGACCGCGAGACCATTTGGTACGGCCCTCGAGGTCATTTATAAACACACGCAAAAAAGAAAAGAATTAAAGAAATCTAGACTGCAAAAGAATTAAACAAGCGAGTGCCTGTTTTTCCTGGCCAAGGTCAGGGTCCTTGAACACAACACGAGAACATGTCATCACGTGGTATATGTCTCGTCTGACAGGGGTGTAATTCTGACGGAGAGCACCAGAACACCGCTCCGCCACTTCAGAAATGTCAGTACCCATACGGAGCCGTACACATGCCACAGTTTCTGCGTGGCTGTGTCTTTAGTTGAAAGCCCAGTGGCGATCTATTCATCTGTCATACTGATCATACAGTCAATAACTTTGTTGTTATTAGCATCTGGTTAGCTAGCTATGCTAACGTAATATAAGAAGCTTTTCTACAACCAGTGAGGTAAAGGCACATCTTTATATGATCATTATAGTTATACAAAAATAAGAGAATAAAGTAAACAGGTATAAAATACTATATGACAGTAAAAAAAAGTTGTTATTAATAAACAAGAATAAAGTTTAAAAGGGGAGTGATTTGTAAAATATCCATAAAGAAAAATAAATCTGTTTACAGTTCTGTTTCATATGGGTGTTGAGAGATAGATCCATAGATCTCCTAATGTTGCTCTCAAAGTGCACCAGATTGATGCTTTTATCTTCAACAACAACAAATCTTCCCGGGGGAGCATGCCCCCGGACCCCCCTAGAGGAGGTTAGGTCCCCCCCCAAATCATTTTCACATGGATAGGAAACTAAATACATTTGCTCACATCTTGTGTCCATGTCTTTCTGTTTTGGTGGTCATGCCACAACCGTGCACGTGCATGCATGCGTGAGTCATGGTAAGATATCTGGATTAAGAGGTTGCTTTTTCTTTGCACAGCATGAAAGAAAGGTGAAATGAATGGGCTGTGATTTTAGTTTTTTTAAGCAGAGGTCAATCATTTGTTCGGCCCTCGGAGGATGTTGAACAAATTGAAATGGCCCTTGAGAAGAAACAGAAATCAAAGTACAGCTTTTACTTTGGACTTCACGTTGCTCCCAGGACGCCTTTTCAAACTTGCTGAGACGTATTCATTAATATGTTTTACCCCAAAAGCAGCATGAGTCATCAGGATTCACAGTGTGTTTACAGACAGGGTTTTGGGCTGTTTTAGAGTGCAGATACACATTTTTTTTTTTATAGCACCATCACCTTGGGGGGAGGTTTAGAAACCCAAAAAGCTTTCCCTCTATTTTTCTCACTCTGGTCTTTAAGTAAAGTGCTGCAAAAATGAAAGTGATTACAATGAAGATGGTGGAGGTAATGGAAGTGGTACAGCAGCACAGGACCCAGCTGCAGGGCTGAGCCTCTTATTCCACTCACAGAAAGATGCCAGCTTTAAAGGAATACTTGATCCTGTTTTTAATAAAAAATGACTTATTTCAAGATCTCTCTGGAGCACTGAAAAGGTTCTGCAGCATCATTACTGTTTTAATGACAGAGCTCCATGCTCAGGCATTGCATGGCACCACTGAAGGCTGAAGCTCCGCCCACAGGGCTGTCACCAGCATTCACCTTTAGGCTTTGACAGCTAAAAAATAGAGGATTGTTTGTGGACTGTTTATCAAATCTAAATGTGGCAGCAGTTAATCCAGGCAGCCAGACTCTTAGAATGAGTCATGCAAAGAGCCGGAGATAATCGGTGTGCATAAGACTGATGTCGGGAGGTTACAGGTACGGCTCCCCCCTCTGAGAGCATTTCTCAAAAGCACCGTCATCAGGGAAAGTAAGGGCCTGCTTTCTCGGCTGAAAATGATGGAATGAATTCAAGTGAATTGTCATTCGTCATAAAGATGTTGCATTTTCACCTGGACATGGCATTCTGCTTTACATGTTGATCATGAGGTGTAAACATTTGGAAGCGTCTCCACGAACACACTGAAGAAACTGAAACCTTGAATGTATGAGGTCAACAGATTTCACATAAATGTATTAGTTGTGTTGAAAGTAATAATATTAGGTTTAAACTTAAACTTAATAGTATTGATTAAAACTCAATAATACAGTTATGTCAAATTTATTTGTTGAACTATAACATTTAATTAAACGGAATGTTTCAGTTTTGTCAGTGTATGAATGAGCTGGCAGGGCCGCAGAGAGTCGGGGGAGGAGTTGTTGGATGATTTGTGGTTCGCTTTATGCATGTGCATTCAGAGAGACCCCCCCTTACCGAAATGTTCTGGTCTCCACAGCTCCGTCCCAGGTCAGCGAGGTCATCAAGGAGAAGGTGCAGCAGCGCAGCATCCAGCTGTCCTGGCAGGAGCCCCAGCAGCCCAACGGGGTCATCACAGAGTACGAAATCAAATACTACGAGAAGGTGATTTGAACAGTTCATTTGTGTCTTCGTCTCTTCCTGACACGCTCTCCCCTCCATTCCTTCCCTTCACATTCACTTTTGCAGACTCTTCATTTCATATTCTATCTGCATGCTGCTTCGAGTGGAATTCACAAGATTCTGCAAGTACCTTCTTTGTCTCATAATTGCAATAATGAATGAGATGCTCATAAGATTTTAATCAGGCTGTAGTCTTTCCCAGCCGCCCCGTGCACATGTTAGAACACATACTGGCAGAATAAGTCATCTGTTATCTCCTTCCACATAGATTATAGCGCTGCATCCCTGTGTTTCAAGTCTGAACACATCAGCCTTTTACAGCGAGGTTTAACGGGGAAAATAAAAGGCAGGGTAGCTGTTCTGTGGCTCACTCTGACGATCAGTCTGCTGCATCACGTACGGTGCCTGTGGTCTGCCCAGCTGTAAAAGTGGAAAATTGGAAACAACAACTACAGCCCTAACAGACCCTGACATTCCATTTGAGCTTTCCGAACAAACCATTTACAGATCAACAGCAAACATTACGTGCTGCCTGTGCATCCAAATACACTCCCTGATGAAGAAGAGTTTTTTTATATGTGGCGAGCTGTCAAACTGTAGGATAATAATCTCAGTTTGGATCATATACTGTATGAAATAGAGAGGTGGTCTCTGTGAAATCATCCTCAGGTTGCCTTCGCCTGTTTCAACTCCAAACTAATCCAAAATGAGCCGTTGTGGATGGAGTTGAGCGCGGCCCAGATGGAGCAGCCGCAAATAGCTAGCAGCTAGCAACATTAGCATCCTCATGTCACTAAAAGAGGCCACACCCCTAAAAATGCACCACTTTATGCCTTTAATATAACTATAACGGGTGAGCTATAAAAAATACACCCACAGTAAGTTGTCATGAATTCATAAAAAAAGCTTTTTGGACGAAAAACGTTTTTGGGCACTTCCTAATATGCATCACTCCTCAGCCCTGGAGGTTGAAATGAGGTGTTAAGATGTTCTTTCATTCTTTAAATTCTCGAATAGGGCAGTGGTGAGTTCGACATGTTTGTACTGATGGAATTAGTGCTGTGGAAATGTACATTATTATGATAAAATAAAGATACAGGTAAACATGGATGAATGTATGAGAGCAACAGCAAAACAGGGAGACTATAGAGAGATACGATAATCATAGAAACAGGAGAAACCTTAAATAAGGGTTTCTAATGTCTCTAGTGACTGTTTAAAATTCTATCTGCAGCTAAAAATATCTAAAGTTCTTATACAACTTATACTCTATACTTATTAAACTTGATATTAAAATGACTACTAAATGTGATATTTTTACTAAAGTGCAACACTGTGTATCTATTTGAAATAAACATTGTTAAATCATGTTTATTCCTTTTACAAACCAAACAGCTGTTGGATGTTGTCTCTCTTCGCCCAAATGTTAAGAGATAAATGTTTCAATAAAACACGATGTTGTCCTTGTTCAGGATCAGAAGGACCGGGTGTACTCCACAGTCAGGTCCAAGTCCACGTCGGCCACAGTGAACAACCTTAAGCCCAGCACCTCCTACGTGTTCCAGATCCGGGCCTTCACCGAGGCAGGCTACGGCACCTTCGGCCCCCGCCTGGAGATCACCACCAAAGAAGAAACCACAAGTATGAACAGCCCACCAATGCAACTACACACAACCCTAATACTGCTGCGTTACTCATGTAATACACGTTTGATTGAAATAAAAAACGTTAGGTTCAACTCAATATTATAGCTTTCAACTAACCTAATCGAGATATGTAAAAATGGTTGACATAATACTTTTAATTAAAGTCAAGGTTTCAGTTTTTTCAGTGTAGGAAGATGTATCTTAGTTTGGCATTAAGTGACACATTGTATATCGTACCCTCGGTCTTTGCTTCTTTTCATTGGATACAGTTTCAGTGTTCATTCCCACTTTTCCTGCAGTTTGCACCTGTCTGATGTTTTGAGTGAAAAGCCCACAGAGAACATTAGTATGTCTGCAAATGCACCAATGCCAAGCATCTAACACAAGGACAGTTTGACGGCAGCAGTATATCAGCACATTATATCACAGCAAAGGCTTTTAACTTCAAATATATGCACAACCTGTTAATGTTTCCAGCTACTGTAGTAATAACCCAGGGAAATGATTTGCGTTTAAGCTAAGCAAACACAAATTGCTTTGACTTTATGCTGACAACACGTCATGGGAGAAATAACTAAGCACAAGGACAAGCCGCAGTGTCATGAGGATAAACTCATTTAAATCTAATAAGTTACATTAGCTCTGCCCTGAGAGGCGCAGAGTGTGTTTGTGTGTTTAGGTTACAGGTGCGGCTGTGAACTGTGTGTGTTAGTGTGTTTTCCCAAAGACATCCAAAAACCAAGCAAAAACAGCTCTTATAACCAAAGAAGAAACTAATGTTGTTATAACATGGCATTTTCCTATTTTTTTTAATTTAATTTCTCCATGCATTCTAAACACAGCGAGGTACTATTTTGTTTATTATGTGCAAGTTATGCAACACTAATTATTTGCACCTCATTACTTAACAGAGCGAAAACTATGTAGATCCAACTTAGAAAATGGAGCACTTTCCTCTCAATGCTACGTTGTGCTACATTAAAGGAATATTCAGATTATATTATCTTTGTTTTCCCAGAGCGAGATAAGAACATGTATATCAGCCTTACTGTCAGGATGCACTGAAAAAACTGAAACGTTGACCTTTAAAATGAAGTTATTTAAACGTAATACATTTAATTAAAGTCAACGCTTCAGTTTTTAACAGTGTGTTTAGCCATCCGCTAAAAAAAAACATATTTCCTCTTTCTTTCCAAACCCCAACATGCCCACCCAATGACCCCTCACATGCAACGTGTCTGCATTAAAGGACATATTAATTACTCATACCACATACAGAGTGTGTCCTGTAACAAGGTTATAACTTTACTGTTCACTCACAATGTCCTTGACCCGCTCTGTCATCCACTAGCTTCTAAAGGGAAACCTGAAAATGTGTAATATTAATTTAAATGTGAACTGCTCTAATTCCTCCCAAAACCAACATACAGTGACATAATGAAGCTTGAATGAGGATCACCTGATCTACTGGCGGCACATACTAAAGCCCCCCTCCCCCTCAGAGAGGCCACAAAAGAATCATTCCCCTTCCAAGAATTTATACAGCGCAGATCCACTTGATTTAAAATGCATGACTTTTTCCTCTAATACACCACTGGCGTTGACTTTATATGATGCTACGGCAATCCATTCTTCGGCGCAATCGACAGTTTGTCAACAAAGCGTGTGCGCACTGTGGGGGCTCCGAGCGGGAAACAATCCAACCTGAATGTGTCTTTGTTTGAGATGAAGGGCATTGCCGTCGCCATCTGGGACTATTAAGCCCACTTTCTGAAACAGTAGAGCCGTGTGTATAAGGACGGCTCAAAAATAGAAGCGTCCCTCCTCCACTCTCTCAGAGGAAAGACGAGGAGGGGGGGTTATCAATCTCCTCACATCTCATTGGGCTCAATTATGTCCTGCAGATTGCACTGGAAAACTGAAACCTTGAAATCAGATGTGCTGATATATCGGCTGACTTCAGCTCACCGATATATCCTGTTTGTATCCGTCAGTGTTAAGTAACAATAAATAGCAGCAGAAAAAGTTGAATGTAGTATGGCACAGAGTAGCAATAAAGCTTTAGATTCAAATGTTAAATGTTCCCCATTTTCATCTAAGTTGTTTACCTTCCTGTATTTAGACATTGTATCTATACACACTACATACTATTGGGTTAGTTGAAAGCAATAATTCTAAGTTTAAATCAAAACATATTAGGTTCAACTTAATATTATTGATTTCAACTTACCTAAAACAATGACATGAAATCTGTTGAGATAATACATTTAATTAAAGTACACATTTCAGTTTTCAGTGTGTGACCTGCAGAGTGTGTTCTTTGTTGTGCTGCTTAAACACTGAGCATTTCTGTCTCTCTGCATGTGTGTCCGTGTGTGTTTACGTGTGTGTTTACGTGTGTGTTGGTCTCATCAGCCACGATCGTCTCCAGCGAGCAGAACCCTGTCATCATCATCGCGGTGGTGGCCGTGGCGGGGACCATCATCCTTGTGTTCATGGTGTTCGGCTTCATCATCGGGAGAAGGTACGCTCTCGCGGGCCCCATTGACTCTCCGCTCCTGTGAGTCTGCGCTTGTCAATTAGCCTTTCTGTCACTCACGGGTCTCCACACTGTGGAGTCGTCACACGCACACACACGTGCACCCATCATCTCGTGGCATGCTGTGCTAATGGGTTGTGATGCTTTTTTTTCCCCGAGCCCCCAACACAAATGTGAAGCTTTTTTTCGACAGAGCCATTATGAGACAAGTGCGAGAGAGCGAGAGCTCTGCATTCCTGTGTCTGAGTGTGTGAGATCCGCAGGGCAGGATGAAGTATGGCACAAAGCAGCCAGCCCATTGTCATTATCATCTTTACCTCTCTTCTGTGTTTTCATCTGCATGAATGGCATTTCATCAGAACTTTAAATGGTGGGTTCATGAGAATCAGACTTCTCTGAAAAAAAAATTATTTGACAAACTGAAACTGCTCAGCACACCGTGCAAAGCCCAAAGCCCATCATTTATTTGTAATTTTCACCAGTAAACCATGACTTTTAAAGAGCTGTTTCATTGTTCAGGTATGGAATGTTGTGCTTGTGTGTCGGGGGGTGTCCTTGCTCAAGGGCACCACGGCAGGGCAGGAGGTGAACTGGGACCTCTCCAAGTAGCAGTCCACACTCCATATTTAGGTCTGGTCGGGGACTTGAACCGGAGACCCTACGGCTCACAGTCCAAGCCCCGACGGACTTATCCACTGCATGTTTATGAACATGATAAATGAATTGGATTTCATTTTGAGAACATCGATGTCTCCCAATTTGCTTATCTATGAGACAAAATAAAGCATACAAGAAGCACAATCTATGAACATGTTTTATTAGTTCAAAATATCTCTTATTTATTATTTTGACCATTAATCCATGACTTTCTAGGGTCCAGCTTCGCTTTTCTGTTTTAGAATGCTGTGCTTGGATGCACCTTGGAAGCTTATCTGATCTTATCCATAAGATGTTATGTTAGGTGCCCCCCAACATTGTTTATGAATGGGATAAATAAATAGCATATTTATTTATTCCAAATGTGCTTATCTTTGAGAAATGTGTTATTAGTTCTACATATCTCTGGATATAGTGGCAGTGTTCTCAGTTCTAGTCGGCAGTATGAATGGTCTCTGCACACACGTGTCACTTCATCCACACTCAGTGCATGTCCATCACTCGTGGCTTATTTCATCTTCGCACGTCATCCTCTTTTCTGTTGTGCTCAAAGAGCATCTTTGTGCAGCTACTTGAAGGAACCTTCAACACGTTAATATTATAAATGAATATTACAAGACTTGTTGAACAGTCCTTTACAGTACATGTTTTATTTGATATGTAACATGATTAGATACTCCAGCCACGCTCCCAGGCTGGAAGCTGTGGAGTTCACGGCTCCTGCTGCTCAGCTGAGCCTCTCAGGAGATTTGTCATGCACAGCATTAGTTGCCGCATTACAATTCTTGTGATTTAGGGCATTTATTTCCTCCGCACAATCAGTTGATTCCGCCACTCTCTTCCCCCCCCCCCCCCCCCGTGCAGGCACTGCGGGTACAGCAAAGCTGATCAGGAGGGAGACGAGGAGCTCTACTTCCAGTGTGAGTACCTGCAGTCATCATGCCATCACACACACATGTAGTATGTGCACAAACACACACATACACATCATTATTACTTCCATCACTGTATACTGAACAGAGTGGGTAGGGAGGGTTACTTTACAAATGTAATCCTTTACAACAACTCAGGAGTCCACCTACTGCATTACAAAATAAATGTATTTAAAATAGAGAAGAATACATATAAACCATAAAGAAAAGAATCTCGTTACATGGATGAAAAACTGAAACATTGACTTTCATTAAATATTTTATGTCAACAGATTTCACAAAACTGTATTAGTTTAGATGAAAGCCATAATATTAAGTTTGAATAAAAAAATATTAGGTTAAACTTAATATTATTGCTTTGATCTAACCTAATACAGTAATGTGAAATCTGTTGATATTAAACGTTTCATCAAAGTCAACGTTTCAGTTCTTTCAGTGCAGGCCTGGGTGTTTGATCCCAGTTCATCTGCTTTGGGTCAATACTGAGAACAATGATGCTCACATCGGCTGCTGATTGGCTACACTCGGTCTGTGCAGATGAAGAAGTTAGGAAACTACAAACGCATGAATGTGACAGCTGTTAGAGCGAGTACAGGTTGGCCCGTGAGGAAGAAGCGTTCCTAAAAGAAAAGTGAGAAAGCATCCCCCTGATGGTTTAGTGAGCGACAGAGTTTCAGGTGTGTGACTGTGCTCTGTCCGAGAGGCTGCTCGTAGGCCTTCTGAAACACCCCCCTAATGAAGCCCCTGGAGATCCAGCTGCAGACAGCCTCCCGAGAGCCGCCGTAATGATCCTCGCTGTAGGCAAACTGCTGATTTGGAAACAAAGGGTCAGGGGTGCCACCGAGTGTCGGGCTAAGTGTGTGACAGACGCACCTCAGCAGCTCTCAGTCCACCTGCTGAAGGAAATAAAAACAAGGCTGGTGTCGGCTCAGTGAAGCATCCGCCGTGCGGTATCAGATGACGAGAGGCTGCCACGGCGACACAAGCTAGATGACGCAAATTCAACATGTAGACCCAATTTGTCTGCCATGTAGCGGCGAGGAATTTGTGATAAGACATTTCCTATCAGATCTACTGACATCTCGGATGGACGACGCAATTATGGGAGCAAGTGGAGGGAAATCTCTGCTGCCGGCATCCCCTCTCTGGAGCACAATGAATTTGTTGTATTTACGCTGCCCTCCATACAGAGAATAAGTGTCTCTTAAGAGCTTCTATTGTGTTGTGATGGTCCAGCGTGTGCCCGCTGCATTTTTGCTGTAGTAGCTCATTAAATATTAAAGCTGACAGGTTATATTGTTATCAGTGGAATTTAAATTGCACAATATAATCGCCCCCATGAGTGGTGTGTTCACTTAGTAGTGCATTATAGTGTAATTTGTTGTTAATTTGTGCAGAATGTAAACCCCCTACCCATCGCTGGCCTCACTTTAACCTTTTTGTTTTTCTTTATTTTGTGCTATCTGCTTCCACTCTCATGTTATGGATGTTCATGCACTCTTCTCATATCATCATCTCTCCAGATTATTGTAGCAGTGTTGTTTGTTACTGTATCTTTATAGTTATATGGCATCAAGGTTTATTTGGTTTTCAACATTGTAATTCCTAGTCCATATGTATGTTTGGAAAACTTCTAGGAGTGTCTGAATTCCTTTTTTAACATGTATCTATCACAGAAATATATTTTCCTTTATATCCTAATTAGGATATCAATTCAAAAAATAAATTAGTACGAATTCAAAGAGAGGAAAAGTTTTCAAGTCAAGTATTTAAGGCTGGTTTTAAAATGAAATATGTATTTTATTCCATATAAAAATGTCTATTTGTTTTTGCTGTTAGACTTTTAATAATAATGATGACAATAAAGATATCATGTGTAAACCACCAAGCATGAGAAGTGGATAAAGTGGTGAGAAATGATTCCGTGAGGTAGTGTGAGCTGCAGGAGGTGAGAGGTAACCAACAGCCTCATAAAATCACCGAGCACGGGTTACTCAAACTTTGCTTTGTGATGGATTCTCCCCAGAGAAAAGCCTTTTGACCGGCCGCCGACTGCTCAGCAATTCCTTCTGAATCCCTGCTCTTTGTAATCGAGTGCCCGCCGGTGCATGCGGCATATTTAATCATAACAGTAATCCTCTTACCTTTCTACAGTTAAATTTCCAGGCACCAAAACCTACATTGACCCTGAAACCTACGAAGACCCCAACAGGGCTGTCCATCAATTTGCCAAGGAGCTGGACGCCTCCTGCATTAAAATCGAGCGGGTTATCGGAGCAGGTGAGCCCCCCTCCCCCCCCCCCCCCCCCCCCTGTTCATTCAGCTCTCTGTTTAGTCACTCTGTGCGCTCATACATCACACTGACAGCCACATATTTACACCTTGACACAGCGCATTGTATATTGATAGCGCGATTGCAAAGATTGGGAAAGGTTCATACAATTAATGTGGGATGGTCTGGTGGGTGGCGGGGGGGGGGGCTACTTTATCAGAGGTGGCCAATGACAGTATCATCTCCAGCACGTTTGACTATAGGTCTGGGTTGAGTAAGACACCATCTGAGACAGCCATTCTACTTTAATGTAATTATTGTTGTTTGAATATCTGCAAATATCTTTAGAATAAACGTCATCTAAGTCTCATGACATGGATGTCTATACATATGGTAGAACAGATCTTTTTGTTTTATTGGATTATACAGAGAACTACCTTTGAATGGTGAAGTTAATGTTAATCGTTTATGACTATGTGCCGTCTGGATCGCTAAATAAATATGATATGATGCAACGTTACAACGGTCTCCGCAGGAAAGAGGAAAGAGGCTTTTTAATGAAGTGGACTAAAATGCCACGTCCTTCAAACATTTCTCACACAATTTGTATCACTACTGCTCAGCTGCTTTGTCTCAAAGTACTCTTAATACATTTGTCATTGAGAAGCGCTTCATTTTTCTTTACCCCCCCCCCCAATCTTATTGATAAACGGTTTTCTCCCGCTCAGGAGAGTTCGGGGAGGTGTGCAGCGGCCGGCTCAAGCTTCCTGGAAAGCGGGACGTGTCCGTCGCCATCAAGACGTTAAAAGTAGGCTACACAGAGAAGCAGAGGCGGGACTTCCTGTGCGAGGCCAGCATTATGGGACAGTTCGACCACCCCAATGTGGTTCATCTGGAGGGAGTCGTGACAAGAGGTAAACACTCCTGAAACATACCTGGACCTAATGTTTCAGTCATGAGGAGTTTAAGAATCCACTAGGATCAGTTTCAGTATATTTAGCCTTGGGAGGTGAAAGTGCCGTAGTTAGAGTGACATTATATCTGATTGAATTATCTACAAACCTTGTTTAACATTTTCTCATTTAGACATTGTAATAAAAGGAGCAGATGGTAACTTTTAATTAAAAGCCAATGAAGTACACAGCTAAAAATAACTTGGAAGCAATTTGGGCACGGTTGTTTATTATGATGCATCTTACAAGCAAATAAAATCCGATATTAATTAATCATCTTCTCTGTCATCCATCTTTTTGTTCTCCAGGAAAACCGGTGATGATTGTCATCGAGTACATGGAGAACGGCTCATTAGATGGTTTCCTCAGGGTGAGTCACCTTCAGGAGGCTCCGAGCAGCATCTTCAGAACTTTTTCTTGTGTTTGCTCCAGAGTGTTCCAGCAGTCTGCAGTAGGATCTCTGCATAAATATCATACATCTTGTGCTGCAGAGCTGCGACATACATCTCCCTCCTGGTCAGAGAAGATGGCTGACCTGCTGTGTTTCTCTTTCAGAAACACGATGGTCAGTTCACTGTCATCCAGCTGGTGGGCATGCTGCGGGGCATCGCGGCAGGAATGAGATATCTCTCCGATATGGGATACATCCATCGAGACCTGGCCGCTCGAAATATCCTTGTCAACAGCAATCTCGTATGTAAAGTGTCTGACTTCGGCCTGTCAAGGGTGATAGACGACGATCCCGAGGCTGTCTACACAACAACTGTGAGTCCATTACAGTCTGTCTACCCCCGCCTGAATGCTCTAATCAAGTCTAGAGCAGAAGAGCTGCTGCACGCCCAAGTAGTCTGTAGCATTCTTAATATGCAGAGCAAGATGTTTCCGTACAACTTTCTCACTATTCGCCCTTCAAAACAGTCCAAACCTTGTTACTATTGCCTTATTTAGGATTTAATAATTATTTACTAATGCTTTATAGATGAAGAACACACTGTGGGATTGGAAATCTGTTTGCTAGCTGTTCATGTGTTCAGCACACTCAGTTTTTTATAAAGCATCATTTGGGTCATAGAGCATCCAATTGAGCAACACGCAAGATGATTCGACATGTTTTGTAAAAATAAGGAATAACAGAAAGAATCAGGAAATATGAGAGAAATCGTATTTTATTTAATGATAAAAAAAAACAGTTCACTTATTAATTTATTGTCAGAAAATGATTTACCTTTACTAAATAATAATGTGCATGTCCAGAATTTTCACATTTGAGAATTAGCTTTTTTTCTTTATTTTAAAATCAGTTACACTCAAATATAATGTTGACAATATATTGTATCAGGTTAACATTTGAATGTACTTCTATTGAAGATACAGTACATGTAAAAAACGAAGTATTGGTTATGAGTTTCTTACATTCTATCTCCATTTAAAAATCATGTGTACTTTTAACACAAGCTGTTAAAAACGTAATAATGTCTAATAATAATAACTAATATTAAATAAATGGTATCTTGTTTTTGATCCATCTGTAATTGCTTAAGGCAGTGATTAACTCATTACATGATTAGAATGCAGTATATTTTGTATAAGATTGTGGAGAAGTTGTTGTTATGTGTTCTGACCCTGTGTAACTCTGAATTCTCTCTAATTGATATTTTAGGGGAAGATGCAGGATATAATGAATGTGATGTTTACTCCAGCCACTGACCTGCGTTTTACTGAACAGGGTGGCAAAATCCCCGTCAGGTGGACGGCGCCGGAAGCCATCCAGTATCGTAAATTCACCTCGGCCAGCGACGCGTGGAGCTACGGCATCGTCATGTGGGAGGTCATGTCCTATGGGGAGCGGCCCTACTGGGACATGTCCAATCAAGATGTAAGCTACAAAAAAAAAAACTGAACCGGTGACTTTAATTAAATGTATTATGTCAACAAGTTTCACATAACTGTATTAGGTTAGTTGAATCAATATTATATCATATCATATTTTTTTTTTTTAATTAATATTATTGTTTTCCACAAACATAATATTGTTATGTAAAATCTGTTGACATTTAATTAAAGTCAACATTACATCACAAAAAGTCTTTAAGTTACTGACACTATGTGTAAGAGTCTGTCAGCTTGGTGGGTTACACATCAAGTTGAGGTTACCTGCTGAGACAATGATGCAGGTCTCCCTTGAAAAAGAGATCTATGATCTCAATGGGACCAATCTGGTTAAATAAAGGTTTGAAATGAAATGAAATGAAATAAAAGAGAATCATTTAAAAATATTGCAATTGGGCATTTATATTATTTTCTGATATTTCCTTTCTTGAGTTTCTTAACCTTAGATCATGGATTGCTAACACAAGCTATTATAAAAGACTATTAGCACACTGGATATGAAGCGTTTCTCATATCTGGGAGAAGAATATTTCACTAACGTTCATCTGAAAGAGGGTTATTCCCCAGATCCATCCCTAATTATCTCTAATGAAGTCATCCCACTTAAACGTAGAACATCCCAGACAAAGATCCCAGTTTGTGGTTCTTCTTTGAGGATATCGTGCAGGTCCCTCCAGAGAACCGTTTCGATGCACTAACCTTGGGCTTAATTAGTTCAGGAAGTCTCGTTTTATTCATGCAGCTTGAATCCATTTGAAGGAGAAACAGTCCTGAAATGGGACACGCATAAAAATGAAGTCCGGCGAACATGGATTTGATTCTGGTATTATTATAAATTACAGGACTGGAAAACACTCGTCATGCAGAAAGCTTTTCACCCTAATGTCTTTAAAAGTTTACAATTACTTATGGAAATGTGAACCAGAGTGAGTAGCAATGTTGAACCAATTACAGCAGCAGCTCATGCATTTTTCCCAGTGTGCATTGCACTGATGGCTTTGTTTCTAAAAAAAAAAGTCCAGAATTTAAACAAAATGTATATTTTCAAAGTTGCTCTTTAACAATTCTACACATCAAGATGAGTTTACCCTTCAGGGTCAACCTGTGGAAAAAGTTTCAAAATGTCTTGGATTGCTTTGCCTGAGAAAAAACGGATGATGATGTCATAGTGATGTCATCAAGGTTATCTGAGCTTTTTCATTGAGACCACATTTCTATAACAGAAAGCCTGCATTACAAGCTGCGTTCAAAAGATACCAACCAGTCAGGGTCTAATGAAAGTATGTTATGTGTTGCATTATGGGAAATTAAGGATCCAGTGATTTTAGAGCCGGACAAATGCTTTGTGTGTAAATGTCAGGATATCTCAGCTTCTGATTTGGTCCCTACTCTTTTTTTTAATAAAAAACGATCTTTATGAAGTGTTATTACAAATGATAGAGCACTTCTTTAGTTATCTCATCTAGAATTGTTTTGACACGCTTCAATGAAACTCATAAAGCCCCAGGAGCAGGACATAGTTTGTATCTGTCTTGTTTTGCACAACACATTGCAAATGGTTTCTACAACTTCTGCTGAGGTTGTAAAACTCAGTGTGCTAGAACTGGTCGAATTTAGAGATTACTACGTTCACTGAATAAACTGAAACATTGACTAATGCACGTAATTAAATTCAACGTTTCAGTCTTTTCAGTATTCTAGGTGCTGTTATTTAATCAGAGAATCTTTAAGGTGTCTTACCATCAACTCCTGACATCGCCCAGAGTGTTCTTTCTCACACAGAACACATTCAAGTTCCACTCTTCTCTCTACAAAAGTCACACATTGCTGTAATGATTGACTCATGGTGTTCATGGAAACTCCCACAGAGCGAGTCCAACTGTGTCAGACCCTTAACGCTGTCCTATTGTCAGACTCTTCACACATTGTGATGGTAGATGGCCAGTTATTACAGAGCTTCAGATTCCTATAAGGGGAAGCTCAGCATCAGGTCTGAACATCACCAGGATTCTCCAACACTCAAGGTTCAAGGTTCAAGGTTCTTTATGTAGTCATACGAACATAGCTACAGTGTAGTTATGCCGATGACAATCTTAGGTCACAGGCTTCTCCAACAGTGCAACACAAAACTCAGATAAACAGACAAATATAGTGCAAGTAAATAGTAAATACAAAAAGAAAAATTGTTTAAAAAAGTGAAATAGTGCAATAAGAGTCTATATGCAAGTTACTGGAATATGATATATTAGGTAAATAGAGAGGCATGCTAACGGAACAATCAGATGTGAGAAATGCTAAACAAGATGTCCGGGCGTTATAGTGGCAGATGTGGTGTTTTGATGCTGTGCTACTTGACAGACATCAATGTCAGAAATGTTTGCACTTTGTCAAGATGACAGCAAACATCCTGCGGGGAAGCAGGAAGAACGTTTGAAATTTGCATTTTTCCAACAGTTTCAGTTCAGTTTTGACATCTTTTCCCTCCATGACTCATCATTTCTGAGCGGTTCTGACAGAAATAGCTGATGAATAAATGCAGAAACGTACACAGCTCCTTATCCGACACAATAAAGGAAATAGAGCGAGGGCTCACATCAAAGTGCCGCTCCTGTTCTCACGCTATTGACTTTTAATGACATCGCTGCAAACTGCATGCCTGATGGAGAGTCATGATATATTTTAGGTTCTAAGGTTCCATGTCAGAGCTGAATAAATATGGCCTTTTGTTTGCACACACACTGAACAAACTGAAACGTTGACTTTAATTAAATGTATTAACACATTTCACATAACTGTATTAGGTTAGTTGATAGAAATAATATAAAACTGAACCTAATATTATTTGATTTAAACTTAATATTATTGCTTGCAACTAACCGTATACAGTTATAAGACATCTGTAGACATAATACATTTCATTAAAGTCAACGTTTCAGTGCATGAACAATGAGGGAGATTCAATTTAGAATTTCCGTTGCACTGGGGTATTTAACCTGCTGAAATACTACAGTGTAACCATCCAAAATAGTCCTGCCGTGCCTTAAGCGTTATCAGAACATTTTTGAGATGTTTTATACATTTGCGGTAAAGACAGACAAAGATAGGTGTAATATGATCCCATCTCATAAGGAGTTGTTTCAAAGCTGCAGCAGTTAGCACGTACTGAGAGCAGGAGAGAAAAGCCCCAGGTATCAAGGACTGATGAAACATGCATAACCTCTGGATCAGTACATGACAAGAGGTCTGTTACTTTGCCTGAGCTGGATCAACACACAACCTTTTGAAATCAAATGAAAATTCATTTATTTATCACACACTGAATATCCCATTCTTTGTTTTGGTCAGTATCAGCTATGTCTTATTATTATGAAATGTTGTTCACCAACGGCACTGTAGACACGTAGGGACACAAACAACAGCCAAGTATTAAGTCCACAATTCTGTTTTATTATCTCAGCTCGTCTCTAAGCTGCCAGTGTTGTCTTTCAGAACTGCTTGTCGGGGTATTGTGATATTAAAAGCTATTTATTAAGGATACTAACGACTCTCTCTGTTTTGCATCCTCTAGGTCATAAAGGCGATAGAGGAGGGGTACCGCCTCCCAGCGCCGATGGACTGCCCCCCCGGCCTGCACCAGCTCATGCTGGACTGCTGGCAGAAGGACAGAGCCGAGCGTCCAAAATTCGACCAGATAGTCAGCATCCTCGATAAGATGATCCGCAACCCTAACACCTTGAAGACCCCAGTGGGAACATGTACAAGGTGAGGGAGTAAACCCCAAATGAACCACTTTCAAATGTGTCTTCATACAATAAGAACTATTTGAGTGCATTAGTGGATGATCCAAAGCGTCCAGCGGATGACTTAGCCTCTGTAGTTCACAGATGAAAGATAAATCCTGGGGGATCGATACCCCAAAGCAGCTTCCATGGCTTTATGGTCAATCGCAGGGCTTTTAAATCAATCCTGGTAATGAGTTCCTGCTACTTTAAAGTGCAGTGGGAACTCCAGACCTCACTCTGACGTTTGTCAGATGAATTCTATTTGCAGTCAGAAGAGACTTCCCTGAGGTGAGATGGAGAGGTTACAGCTGGTTAAAAAGCACTTTATTATAGTGCGTCTATATGTGAGGAATGTATTCAGATTGAAGAGATATTGAGAACATGTTTTTCAGACGCAGAAAGCTGAAATGCTGCATCTGTTTATGAATATGTTATTGATTGAAGCCTCCAATCAGCTGCTTTTTCCCCTTCTCGCAATTTGCCGCACCGCTGGATGCCTTTAGTCGTCAGTTTGTCTCGTCTCCTGCCTGATTGTGTTTTCAGCGGAACGTTTCCTTTTCACATAAGAAATAAACATCTTTCTGCTCATCCCGCAGACCAATTAGTCCGCTGTTGGATCAGAGCACACCAGACTTCACCGCTTTCCGCTCAGTAGGAGAGTGGCTGGAAGCCATCAAGATGGAGCGATACAGAGACAACTTCACAGCGGCGGGCTACAGCTCCCTGGAATCTGTGGCCAGGATGTCAATCGAGTGAGTAGAGAGGAAGCCCTCCAGTGCTTAAACTTCAGAGGAGAACATTACAATAACACCAGGCACATTTCAACTCTTATCTCACCTACCCGCTTCCCGTTGGCCAACCCTAAATAAGCAAACCCAAGTAGCTGCATTTTGTTTTCAGGCAGAGTGTTGGCAGATCATCCAATGAGGTTTCTGTAAATTACTGTACATTTTAAAAATTGGCCTGGGCCTTCAATTACCCAAACTGCAGAGATAACTAGGCCATTATTCTTCTTTGATGCATTACTATCCATATACTGAATGTATACTTTCAATATTTTAGTAAGAGACCTCTGTTTGTGATTTTCTCCTGCTTGCTGTTAGCTCACTGCCTCCATGTTATCCATGTCATGATCAAATCAGTGTAACGTAAATTACACTGATTCCATCTGTAAAAACAGACTCCTCTTATATCCAAAATCGAACAGAATAAATGAGGTCTCATTGGTTGTGTTCATTGGTTACTTGGAGCACACATTCCATCTCATGTTTGGGACTCAAGAACTTTAACACTCTTATTAGCGAGTCCTCATCACCAGGGTCTTGAACCTGTGTGAACTCTCTGCTGCTTATCACTGTAGTCGAGAGCCGCTGAATATGAGCAGCAGGCAGACTGTGGCTGGCCCTGGATCAGTGACTCAGACTCACTGACCATCAGATGTCAACATCCGTCTCCACATCCTGTAAAAAGCTCAAGGCGTTCAAGTAAACTTTCCAAACACACTTCCAAGAAAGGACTTGAGTTGTACCGGTTTGCTCCATCATCCTGGACATGGAACACGTTATGTTTAGCTGCCTCTTTTTACCCCTTACCATTTGACCATGATGAAAGAAGCTCAGCCTGTGATTCGTCACTTTGGTTAACTGGACTCATAACTTATAACTGGACTCCTCTTCACACTGTACATTTATATTGAATTAAGTGTTAATCCTTTCCTCACTTTCTGAATAATATTCTTCTTTTTGTTGAGCTGTCATTTGGCCCTTCATAGTGTTTATTTGACAGATAGTCTACAGCTTTTTATCTTTCACGTCAACTTCTAAATATTTTCCTTTTTAGTTTACTATTTTGAGATGTTTATATTTTTCAAATGATGTACAATGCCTCGTTTTTAAATACTCTAAAACACTAAAATATGACATTTATGATGTATTCAGGTTAGTTGAAAGCAATGTAATATCAACTTAATATTATTGCTTTCAGCTAACCTGATGTGTGAAATGAGTTGACATAATACATTTACCTAAAGTCACGTTTCAGTTTTTCAGTGTTGCAGCTGTGACGGAAATGTCCCAATTTGGGATCAATAAAGTATATCTTATCTTAGTCCCGCCCCTTCCTGTGTTTCAGTGACGTGATGAGCTTGGGGATCTCGCTGGTGGGCCATCAGAAGAAGATCATGAGCAGCATACAGACTATGAGAGCCCAGATGCTGCACCTCCACGGCACAGGGGTCCAGGTGTGACCCGCAGTTTGCATCATGAGAAACTCTAACAGAACTTATGGGACGTACCCGGGACAAACAGTCAAAAGCTAACGGACGTGTGTCGTGCCGGACTCCTCGGCTGTGTCTGGAGTGAAATCATTCCTTTGTTCCTCGCTCCGCCTCTTCACAGGGCACTGAAGAGAGGAAAAGGACAAACAACCGCAACAAAAAAGAAACTACCTGAACCAGATGACTTTCTTTACTTACTTTCTTTAGAAGCGCTTATGAACCCAACCACATATCAAAGGGTGCATTGGAAAGGACTTCTGTTTTAACTTAATGAATGATTTACACGCACACCGAGGCTATGGATTCTCTCTAAAAAGAACAAAAAAAACAACTTGTCTACTTGCAGTGGTTTCATTTACATTTGTTTATTTGTTAGTTTTCTTTCTGTCTGCTACGATGACATGTTTGGCACATGCAGCAGTTTGTTTCTCTCTTCTATTTGGATTTGACTACAGGGTAAAGGAGAGGGTTTTATGGTTTCAACCTCTCAATGTTTTTTATTATAGAATGTTCTGAAGAGTGCAACACTGAAGAGACGCAGGAGAATCAGCAGACTTTTATATCAGAGTAGCAATATCCTTTGTCTTATTGTTCACCACAGGAAACGCAGTCACTTGGTTATTGAGTAGAATGTTGCAGCACTGTTGAAATACTTTATTGAAATTGAAGCCACCACAAATTGTTTTGCCATCGTTTGACCTAAAATGTTGCACACGGTGTTTGTTTCGGTGCATTGTTGAGCTGCAAATCCAGTTTTTAAAGGTGGCTCCAAAACACATTGTAGACGTAATACTGCCTTAAAAAGTGTTAGCTTAAGTATTGCCACTATTTTAGGATCTTCAATGGCAATGCTTTCTGCATTCATTTAAAGGGTCGACAAGCTCCCTATATTTTTGTTTTTCTTGTAGTGTGATGTCTTTTTATCGCTGACTAATCTTGAACTGGTGAAAGTGAGACACGGTGAGCGAAGAAGAGTAGGACTAAACAGAGCAATAATTACCAGGTAGAAACAGTCCTCACCTGAGATTTGTAAGGTGCTAGGTTTTATCAAATGTGTGTGCTGTGCTGAGACAAACCCTCTGGAAAGATTTAGTCACCCTCGGAAAGGAAAGGAAAGGAATGTACCTCTTTGACCCAAAAACGGTTCGGAAAGTGCCGTGCCAAGTCATCAGATGAAATAATCATGTTGTATTTTGATGTTGACTATGATATGCTAAATGTTTGATGGAAACGCTAACATGGCGTGGAAATGTTAAAGTGATGCAGCGATGAAAGAGGCACCGTTTGAACACTAGGAAGGTTCCATTAGCCATGCTGACACCGACGCGCTGTCCAGAAATCAAAGAGCCCCTTCAGGGTTTGGGTCGGAAAATTAGGACCAAACGAGTCAGATCGTGCTGTTGAACCCCCCCCACCCCCCCCAGCCACGCAGCTCCCTTATTTATTCATGTGTCTCCACCGCTCATCCCTCACAGGCGTAGATGTGATGGAACATGCATTAAAGTGTCTCTTAAGATTGCTCCTCTTCTCTTCCATACGGCTTTGTATGGAGAGCAGAGACGAGGGGGCTTTGCAGAAGATGTGCTAAAAGCCAATCAACCTATTCCGTGCCATCTGTCTCCACTTCAAATGCAAAAAAATGTTTTACTGCAGCATTCTTTGATAAGAGGATGCAGTTATTCAGCTGTCATGGAATGGTGTTAAGGAAAAGCCATCATGTCTTCAACTCCTGTAGCTACCTGATATAAATCTATGTTTTCAAAAGCTAGAGTTAGGTCAACTGTTTCCTTCTCAAATGTATAGAAAAAGAAAAAACTGCACGTTTCACCAATCCCAGTTTACATATTCAAATCCCCCTTATCGTCGAACTAACGGACTAATGCAGAGATATTCATTTACCAAGCATGGAGGACAACCTATCTAGCACACACTCACATTCAAGGTGCAGCCTGTGCATCTTTGCCTACAAAATATTTCAACAGTCAATTTAACATTTTCTATGATTTTCTTTAGCACAGAACTGATGAGCTGCAATCAAATGTTCCACTGACAGCAGAAACTGAAAACAGTAAATGAAGAGTACTGTTGAGTTGGCTTTATGGAAACATGCTGAATGATAACAGAAAGCAGCAGTTTTAACAACGCGAGAGACAGTGTTGAAACCAGGCTGAAAGAAGACAGAGATTGTTATGAAAATGTCCTTAAAAAGCTAGCATGCATGTCGTTTTTACACCTAAGCTGTGCTCTCACAATGACCCGGCTTTGTCTGCTTTGATCCACTTTCACTGTGGGACTCACCTTTGTGAGGAGACACCAGGAATTAGTCCTGACCGCTCTGAGCTCTCTCCCTTTATCCATACAGCAGAGCTCAGCATTGGGCCTTGGCCAGACCTTTGAATTGAATACCGGCATAAAGTCATTCAGTCAGCACAAAACTCCCTAGTTTACAGGCAGCACTCTCTCACCCCCCCCGGGGCCGAACGTCCCCTTTTCCTGTGCTGGGGAAACAGCAGTTTGAGCCAAATTGAGATTAAGGCCAGGATACAATCGATTCAGCGTCACCTGTAACCTTCACTAACAGAAGCTTGTTTCACCCACATTCAAACTTCAGGTTCTGCTCAACTCTCAACAACAACTGTTTTGTTGTGGCTCTATATTAGCAACAACTCAAAAAGAATAGAAAATGTAAGAAAGGCAGAAAAAAGCAGACAGGTGCAGGATGTAGAGGGCTGGTTGGAATCAGGAGCAGAAGATAGAGTACGAAGTTATTTTTCAAACCTTGTGGTTCAGCAGTTGGACGTGGTGCGGGGGGGGGGGGTGGTTCCAAAGAGCACTGTTGATTGTGTCAGAGACGAGATTTGAGGGGATCTTTGTATATGTTCTAATTGTAAAACTTGTACATTTATTTATATTGTTTTTTACACATATTACTCAGTAGAGAGCTCTGAATACATTGAAAATGCACTATATTTTTCTATCTCGCAGATGAATTATTGTCACTCACAAGATTTCAGTTGTACTTCATTTTTCATTTAGGACCAAAGACAGCTGATAGGATTTCCATCTTTACTTTGACTTTCTGTTGATTTTGCGTTTTAGTTTGTTGTACAGTAATACAAATGGTCAATTTATTATTTATTTTTCTGTGATGAAAGTATTGAAAATTCACTGGTCAAAGGTATTTTCCCCAACAGCAGAACTGTACGATTTAATTAGACAATTTCTTGTTACATAGACAATTCTTTTTGCTTTGTTACCTTTGTAATAGACTGTACATATATTTTTGGAAATATAATACAATCTCTATAGAAGTGTTGGGTGTCCTTTGTCATGTTCTTTACCTCATTTCTATACACTGGTGTTCATTTGATCAGATGTGTTTAGGATTTATTGAGATCTGAAGTCCATGATTTTTCTAAGATTTGTAGTGGATACAACAGGAGTTTTATTCCAGCTAAATGTTTGAACTAGGTTTAGTTATCGAGCAGGAAATTCAGACTTAAGATGCACCTCACTGCTGTCATTCTAAACATACATAACAGGTTGATTAAGAGAACCCTTTTATAATCAGGCAGCCTTTATAAAGTTGTATGTTTTGTGTCATCAGTAGTAACACATGGTTTTCTCTACATGGATCACGTTTGGCTCAATATGTTTCTTGAATTGCTTCCTCTCTGAGCCCAAATCTTCATAACTGCGTTTATACTCTTTATTTGTCCTGACAATACTTTTGAGAGTGAACTGCACACATCAGATCATGTAAACAAGACAGATTGAAGCAGAGCACATGGCAATTAACTGTGACATGAATGAGATTTGTCTGTTGAATTGTACATTGTAATACTTTACTTGCCTTAAAGTACTTTTGTATTTGTAAAAGTAGTCCTTGTGGCTTGTAAGAGCATCCAAAAACAACAAACCAGAGGTCAAACATGATGGCTGGCACCAACTTCAAATCAACCACAGAAGCTCAATGAATGAACTTAAGGGAAACAATACTCATTCAAATCCAACATCGATGGGAACATTGTGAATCACAATGTGAAATACAAGAAACAACATCAAGTGTAAAACACAAATAAAATGGATCTTATGTTGGGATGCTTCCCTACACCTCCAACATGAACTGCTCCATCCTGCTGGATGAAACGTTAGTTTCAAAATGTTAGTCTGATAATGATTATGTAAAATAATGTTAGCCATTATAATAGAAAAGGGTGATGAGGTGCTCTCTAACACTAGTCTGGAAGATAAGTGGCCATGCAGCCAAAGGAAAGTGTGTTACAGTATATGCATCTACATGATGTAATAAACACAAGCACACACCTTCATTGATCCCCGCCAGGTCATTCCAATCTTAATATTATTGCAGTCAGTGGTTAGAACTCACAAAGCTTTGCTACAGGATCCCTTATCAGAAAGTGGTACCAGTGTACGTTTAGGGAATACTTCATTCAGAGAAACACCTGAACTAACAGTAATAACACCTTAAAGTCCTCAGATGAGCAACACAATTAAAGACAAAGAGACTAACTTAAAAAGAACATTAAAACCAGACACAAACTGTGTTTTTTTATGCATGTAATCTGTTTTTTAAAACATGTATAATCCCCTTCTAATCAAACTATGTACAATGCATTTGGTCAACCTTACAATTCTGTGTCAGGGTTCAAAAGCATTAACGTTCCTGCTGCTTCCCGTTATTCCACTGATTGACAGTTAGCAGCTGTTGTGTGCATAAAGCTGAATGTGCCAACAAAGTCAAAGGACTAAAACCCAGACCCTAACCCTGTCCCACAGGTACACAATGCAACATTTAAAATGTTTAAAGCATGTGCTTAATACATGTTTTATGCAGATGAGTATGTCAGGTACAGTAAGGGGAAGAAAGAGTTTGAGTTTACAAAAAGGCAGAGGTTATGCAGGTGAAAAGTCCGACACACTACACACACGTTGACACCACGTGAGTAATATCTCTTTCCAAAAACAGGGTCCCTGTTACGTTTTATAAGCAACAGAACACACTTCCAACATTTTTTCGAAGTTATTACATATACAATAATAAGATCTTCAATACTTACAACTTAGCAACAAACACACAAAAAAGACAGGAACATTTTAAATTCAATGACAATGAGCAGCCTTCACGTCATATGGTGAAAAGCTTGATAAAGATATTGTGGAACACGCCTACTTCAGTTTGTGTGCAAAGATTCCATTCATATTTAGTGCTCATTAATGTGAGTTTAATCCTTATCCATAAACATTATGTGATATCAGGACTTGGGTTATCGAGATAAACTGTTGTGGTGCTTATTCTTCAGTTGGTGCCATTAACCCACTGCAGAAGGAGGCGGGACAACAAGATCAAGTTATGACAACAAAAGGGTTCAGGCAGAGTTTATCCCTGGAGGAACATGTTGACGTTGGAAATATGGCATTAATGTGCAGTTGATTTAAAATGTTTGAAATTGCATTTAATTCACTGATGTCTTCATCTCACTAGTTGCTTTAACTCATATACTTCATTTTTGTATGCACTATTGCACTATTGCATTGTTACATTTTGTTCTCATGAGGCGCTTTCACACCGCAGTACTTTTCCCACAAAGGTTCATGAGAACTTAGTTCATGAGAACTCTTTAGTTCTCATGAACTAAGTACAGATCGCGTTCACACCGGAATAAGTCCCTGGGGGAGGATTAGGCAAATGAAGCCGCTGACGTCACTTCTTCTTCTTCTGCTTTGGGTTTACTGGCAGGCCGCAAACAACTTCACGGCGTATACTGCCACCCGGAGTCCCCGGCCGGAAGTCCCCGGAGTTGGGGACTGGCTTCAGTAGAAGCTGCTGGGACTCCCAGCAGCTTCTACTGAAGCCTTCCGAGTAAATCGCCAGAACGCAGACACCTCCTTATCTCCACCGCTCCCATGTTTTCCTTTGTGTTGCCATAAGTTAGTCTCTCTGCGTTTGTGCGCTGGGCGAATGCTAATGCTAATAATGCTAATGCGAGGATAATAAAATGGCGGCTTCACAAAACTTTTTGGGAGTTTTACGGGGCGTGGTTTGCTATCCGCCCAGCCAATCAGACATAGGAACCTTTTTCTCCCACGAAAGTCCCTGCTCTCTAGCAGGGACGGAAAAGGCGGTAAAAAGCTTATCATGAACTCATTTTAGTTCTGGATTTTTTTGGTGTGAACGCAACATTTCGGAACTATATCGGAACTAAAGTGGGAAAAGTACTGCGGTGTGAAAGCGCCTATTAATACACTAACTTCAAACCAAAAGCATTACACTTTGCCTCACTATCTGAACTTAGATTTTCCTTTTCACTACAACAGCTGGATGGCAACACACCTGATGTTAACCTGAGGGGAAATCCCATATAAATGCATTTCACATGAGAACGTTTTCATTATGTTTTTATTGTTTTAGGAGAACTTGTTTGAACCCATAATCAAGTACAAAATATTTGTATTCCTCCAAGGCCATTTTGGAGGTTTGAACACCTGCACATCTTGGCATGCTGTGGTGAGAAAGTCACTCATAACTTTGTTGATCATAAATAATATATAATTTTGTTTTCTCACTGTCTTAACTGCACTGCTTAAAAGGTTGGCCCCTCCCTTATTGCTTCAGGTTATACTTGTCACAGCATGAAACCTACTGTACCTCAGAGTCACTTCAGCCAATGGCATTGATCAGAACTGCAGAAAGATAATAGGAGAATCTAAATTATGGTTTGTTTATTGTTGATTGTTGTTTTCTGGTTGATCTGGTAGAAAAAGGCATGACAAATCTCAGTTAGTTTACACGTATTTAGAATTCAAATATTATTACCACAAAGGCAGTTATCTTTAAACATAATCAAACATAATGTAGAAATAACGTAACCAATGCAATTTAAACAGTTCAGCAAATAAGGATATAAACTACTTAGGCTGCTATAAAAAATAAAATTCAAAGGAAAAGAAAAACTCACTGCTCATTTACTCAGACAAACAATTGGATTGAGAGGAGTTCACATGAGGCCAGCTTCTTGGCTCAGAGAGAAAGGGTTTGCCATAGGTGAGCCGGTTTTATTGATTACTTAGCTCTGTGTGGCAGGAGGGGCGGACATTTGTAATTTCAATTTTCAAATTTTTTACTATCCATTTTACAGCTGATATTACTGCTTGAGTACGATAAAGCCTGAGCGATACGATGCCATACAGATGTATTGGCTGATGTTGGAATCACCACGACAACTATACAGACATATAATACATGAACATGCCGCATGATGTCTTAACTATATTCCCAGTAACTGTAACTGACCATTACTGAATATAAAACAGTTCACTGTTCTCACTGTATTCATGTTGTTTCCTTTGGAACGACAGAGCAGAAGGACTGCAGTTGAGATATTTTTCTCAAAAAGGAAAAAGTATCTTCTGTTTTACACCTGAGTTCATTTTGAAGTCAAACATTAGGTCTTCTACCATCAATGAGCACTCTCCATTTGCTAATAAAGATCATGTCAAGTGGTGAAAAGCTTGAGAAAGATATAATGGAGCATGCTTACGCTGTCTGTATACGAGTATACTTATTGGAGATAACACAACCTGCCCAGGCTGACCAATAGCAGCTCTGCTCTTAAAGAGGTTAGGACTTTCTCACTCCCAATTCATAAATTACAGCAGCTTGGTCAGTGTGTGTCATTCTCTGAAGCTCAACATCCCGTGTCATTCTTTGCTACTAAATATGATGGTGGTAAAAGAGGAAGTCGGGTGAAATAAAGTGTGAGAAAGACCTTGAAGGTAAAGTAGAGGAGTTGATGGGTAATAACAATGACCTTTACCCAACTTGTGTCAGGTGTGAACCTCATTTGTCTGTGTGAAACTGACTCATTTCAATTTACATAATCCATACATAAGAAACATATGTAGTAATGTAACGAACGTTTAACCTTAAACCACAATATTTTCTTAAATCTCACCGTAGACGAGGCCTGCATGTCTGGTATAGCAGTCTAGTTGCCAGCAGTCCTGTTGTGAACCCGGAAATGTTGAGTACCCCAGAGTTTTATGAGAGAAATGTAAAGTAGGGGTTCCCAGCACATAGAAACTGCAGGATGCTAACTTGCATAATTATGTTTGGAAATGTGTACAATTAGCATAAATTGTGTTTATTAGCATTGATTACAATTATAGCGTCGTATAGTGTCGACAATTGTTAAAAAATGGCTTAGCCTATTTGGATAATTTTGAAGTGGTTTTGTGGGTAATTAAGGTTGCTTTTTTTTCAGGATAAAAATGTCAGTTTAACCAGAAAGTGG